GCGGCTCACCTGGTAGAGCGCATACCACGCAGACTTAGTCCTAAACCGCAGCTGCCATGGGCTTGAATGCGACCCACGTCCCTTTGCTGCATGTCATCCCCTCTCTCTGTCACTGTACAATCAAAAATAAAGGCAAAAATGCCCAAAAATAGAACTAAAAAAAAGATTTTAGGACGGTTTTAGGGGGGTTTAAAACGTTAAACAGCTCTTTTACTTACATTAAGTCCATTTACCATATTTAAAGCTATTCCAGGTTTTACACAGTGAAGGTATCCAGATTATTTAGTAATCCTGCCTCACGAAACAGGCCCAAAGTCTACACAGTAAAGTGGTTTCAAATGATTAAACTCCATAAACCCAGTGAATAACGGAACAGCCAAGCTGTAGACAAAAAGAACAATTGCACAATCAATGTGACATGAGCAGAATAGCTTGGCCTACATGTGCAAGTTATGAAAAATGACTGGTTGGTTGGGTTGCAAGGTCTTATTACCTCAAAAAGTCATCTGAGGACAGTAGAGTGAAGTATATTAAGTAAATAAAACATTTTAGGACAAGCAAATAAAACCACAGCAAGAAAAACTGAAAATAAATGCATCTCTTGAGGAAACACTATTTATTATGACCACAATAAGAGTGCGCAGATTGTTTATTTCACACATCAGCAGGCCTAAGCTGCTGATGCTGGTACATTATCTAGCTGAGCTGCTCGACTGTCTCAAACTCATGTTATTCCAATGGCTGCTGTGGCTAAACTGCTTAAGAAAACATACATGGCACATCTATTCAGCTACATGAATAATAAAGCATTCCAGCATACTCACACACATGTATTGGCACACTCACGCACACTAAAAACCAAGATGTGTCACAGACGTGCCTGATGTTAAATCCCTGTGAGAAGAGCTCATTGAGAAGGGTACAAAACCTGCAGGATTCCCAGCCTCTCAACTCCTTCCAATAAAACGAGCTGTCTATTCTATCCTGAGACAGGATGCAATGGGGAAGCAACCAAAGGGCATCAGCATGAGGTGAAGAGTTCACAGGTGCATACAGGAATAGGATTTGAAAGTGAGAAAAAATGCTGATTTCTTTTTACCCAAAAGAGAATGACACTCTTCTTTGATCAGAAAAAAAAATAGAGGAAATATGGAGGTGGGAAGGCCTGGAGAGAGACATAGGAAACAGTCAAAATAGTATGTCAGTGGAAGAAAAGCCAGAAAGGCAGAAGGCAAAAGAGTCGGGGAGATACAGCTATCAGAGCTCCAACATGGCAGGATGTGACATGTGGAGAGCAGGAAGAGGAAACTGGACAGATATAGATTGATTTGGTAGCTGCTCCTGAAAACATGTCTATCCCATTAGGGGCCTCAGTGGCAGTTAATGTGCTTATCAAAGCGTGCACCTTTGGTCTATTCCTAGCCCTGGTAAGGTGCTACTGCAGGCAGCTAACATGGAAAAAGAAAAGACTCAATGCAGAATTTAACTGTGCGTCAGATGGTTTCCTATTATTTCAAATTCTAGGACTACATTTATTGGCTTCTGTGGTTGACATTTTCTCCAGAGTTGGCAAGAAAGAGGGTCACACCCGGGGGTCAAATCCCAAATCTAATCACACCTAATGTGGGTCATTAATTAGGATTTGTATAATTTTACCACGTGAGAACAGCTCAAATAAAGGAGCTTCATTGAACTAACAAAAAACAAAAGAAAAGCTCTTTTGAATAAAATAAGTACCATCTCCATTATTTACAGTGCACAGAAACTGTGCATTTAATTATTTCTACTCAACAGGAAAATAAACCAATCTTTATCTACTCTATGTAGTGCGAACTGACTGCAGGTCAATGCAAAGGTCCTTTTAGCACCAAATATGAAAGACAAGTTAAGTTGACAGGTAGCACAAACAGGGGCAATTTAATGGCTGATTTTTAAATGGGACTTTATAAATGTTACCTTACAATATTAGTGACACTGACATTTGTCCTTCAGAACGAATGTCAAGGAAAGTGATAAGGTTGCGCAATATATAATATCAATAAAAACTGTTTTCTCATTGTACAGGACTTTGCACAGGTACATGCCATTTTATCTTTTGTGTTCTGTCAGCAGGTAAGTATAATAGTTAAGCAATTATTTTATTTAGAATGGACCCTCTCTTACATAAATAAGTATAGCAAGTATCAATTTAAATACTATGCACTTTAGGTTGGCTTTGAGTTTTATAAGCCATCAAAATACCTGAATGAGTCTGAGAAAGTTCTAAAAAAGGGAAAATACATAAAATCAGATGTAAATATTTGATGTTGAATTTACAGCCTAATGAAGCCTGATTTAAGATAATAGTGACTTAACTTATAGCCTAATGCCTGTTTGAATTTTTAAATTTTAGTAGTTTTATAGACCTGCAGGTGTAAGATCTCCATGCCCAAAAGCCCTTAAACTTAATCAAAGTACAAGTGGAAGGTCAAACAGAGGATACAAGCACGGTGTACATGAACTTAGACACATTGTACACATAGCTGTACATACATAACTACCAGGACATATACAAGTGTACAGATTAGTGACATCAGCCAAATTGTGTATGGACAATGCAAACCTAATGGTATTGGTTAACTTAAAAAAATATATCTTGTCTTTGTTAAGCAATGTGGAGACATTCTTCAACTTTTCTAATGATCTTCTAATTTCATGGCTTAGTAAGATATCCATTTAACAGCCTCTAATCATAACTGGTGACTTCTGGACTGGCCACCAGTAACAACAATCTCTATTAACTGAAAAGTTTCACACAGCCAGACACGATAAGAATGGCCACTTGTATTGACAGTCTTATGACAAAAATTCCAGTTTATGTGGAAAAAATGTATTACTCTTTTAGTTTACTTTTTCATAAACTTAAAAAAGACGGACCCTCTGGTTATGTGGGAAAAAAAGAGCCACATAACAGTAGTATGGGTGTGTCAGCTCAGCTGTTAGCGTTAGGGCAGATAGCCATCTGATCAAGTGTGGTATTTGGAGTCTGGACGTGTGGTATCTTAAACTTCAGGCCAATGAGAACAGCTTGTCTTCATTAGACGTGGAACAATACAATACAACCTATTAAACAGTCTAGTTTAGTTGAGTTTAGTAAGTCCCTGTGCTGCAGTAGTTTAGAAACATGAGGACAAAACTACAGCAGAAGTTCAGCTTAAGGCTACTCTCTGGTAGTAGCAGAGGGGCTTCGATGATGCTGCCATGTCTTCAAACATGCCAAGATAAAGGGCGGTGGTTCGGATACAGTCTTATAAATAAAGCACCCGATATAGAAGAAACATATGGCCTCTCGTTGTGATAGTTTGTGTACCCGTTGTTGATGTCAACTTACCTTCAGACAGCTCCAGCTCCAGCTCCGCCAGCTTCTCCCGGACCTCCGCCGGCAGGGTCATAGCGACAGCCGGCGTGGGCTCCAACATCATCGTTAGCAACCCGGTTGAGGTTCTCTCTGCCATGGTGGTCCAGTACGAAGCACGAATAGGTCCACTGAGTCACCGGTGAGGAGGACAATGCCACCAGAAAGGTAAAAAAATGATAACAACCCCTCTTCACTTGGTTTCGGCTGAGGAGAGAAAATGGGGTGTTGGTGCTTCTCCCGTCTCGCTGCAACGTCGTACAGATGTGTGAGAAATCTCTCCAACCGTCATGACACGGCTAGCTGCGAGGCTAGCAGACACACCTGACTGTGTGTTTCCATGTAGTGTGCTAGGACAGGGCCCTGCCTGTGTCTCCGTGCCTGCTGTCTGTCCCTCGGCACTGTCGGCGTCCTCACTGTCTGCGGCTGCTTCTCTTCAACTGTGGGGAGAACTCATTCAACTCCTCGCTCGCTTCCCACGGCGCAGTCGCTATTGCATCATAGCAACAGCAGCCCCGACCGAGCGCGTTCACGGGGCTTCCTCGTGTGTTTGTGCGTGCCTGAGCGGTGCACGCTGCCTCCTGCTGCTCCACAAACAACTTGCCTGCCTCCTACCGTCACTGTCACAGTGCTGCTGCGCGGTATTGAAGCACATGCAGTGACCTGGGAGATACAACTGTACTATTGAAAATGTTATGATTTTTTATTTATTTATTTTTTGCATCTTGCTATTTTATGGGTGTTATTTATTAATACAAAAAATAATTACTGATTCGTGGTTCACTGTTAGTCACTGTGATCTCAAAATATATCAAAGGAGAACTGCATTTTGACGATATAATTACATGATCAGCTGGCTAATGACACTTAAAAGCACAATGTGGTTAGACAGACAGTATCCAAAGCTCACTATAAAGATCCTATGTTCACACATAGAAATGGCATTTTTTAAAAGAAATGAATGAAATGTTTAAGCTGAAACATTTGAAATAGTGATAATACACATACTGAAAGAGGTTGAAGTAGCAGTTGAAAGGCAAGTGCTGAGGAGTTGAAAGTTTCAGTTTAATGTAAGCACTGAATGAAATTAAAGTGCAGTGCTGTACCAACAGTTTAGTCCCAATGATATTCAGATTACAGTAATATGACAAAGAAATGCAGAAAATCCTCACATTTGAGAGGTTGGAACTAGATATGTTTGATATTTTTCCATTATCTTCCTTTTTAGTATTAATTGGCTATCAAAAAGTTGCAAAAAAATTTTTGCCAATCAATTTATCAACTAATTGTTTCAGTCTTACTGAAGTGTCAATCTAAGTGCAAGCACTGGATGAGATTGAAATGTCAATTTAAGCATAAGCACTGAGGAAAGCTTTAGTATCAGTTGCAACGAAATTGCTACAATGAGCTGAAATGTCAGATTAAGTGTATGGGATAAATTGAGTTGTGACAGATATTAGTGCCAGTTCCAGTGCATAAACTGAAAAACAGGATCAGCTGAAGTGTTGGTTGAAGTGTAATCATTGTATATGATTGTATAAGGTCAGTGTAAGGCAAGGCAAGATAACAGCATAATTAACACAGAGGCGTTCTCGAAGTGCTTTACATACAATTTTACTTTGAAAGCAATTCAAAATAGACATTACCAAATCATTTACATAAAAGATATCTTAAAGAGACAGTGTGAAACTGCTTGACATGAAATAAATTACTACAATTATATGTAAGTGCAACAAGCTGCCGTATAAATATTCAATTAATATGATAGGTCTTCAAATTTTTGAAATTGAAAACAAAAATGGTTGTATGACAAGGGTTGGTGGGTTAGCAGTGGGTCATCAGTTCAACAGTAGTTTGGCTGGGGTCTGGGTTGATAACTCAAGTGAAACTAACATGGACTTGTCAAGACAAACAGAAGAGAAAGTGAAGATGGGGTGCAGGAAAGTTACCAAAAGCAAACCCTAAATGAATTAAGAATGGGAGGGGTCAGCACCCTGTTGTCAGATGTGGTCCTGCCTCCCAAACACAATGATGCTGACACTGGACATCATCTGACCCACATCGTTTATCTTCAGCTTTATTGTAATATAGCAAATATAAATATTAGTATGGCAAAGAAAGTTTTAAAAGGAAAGAGAACAACCTTGGTCAAATACAAGATATACAATCTGTTGTTCCCAGGAGTTACAAGTCTGACTGTAAAAACATATTGAAAATAATAAATGCATGCATTTAAATGCTTTGGAATTACTTTGCTACAAATAGCAATTTATGTATTGTTAAATTATTTAAATTTATATTGTTGTTTGCTGCCTATGAAGTTAAGAATATATTAGTAATTAGAAGGTGTTCATAATATGGAATATTTTAATTATATAGTGGTCTTTACAAAAAAGACAAAACCTTGAAAATGCATAAAGGCCTATCAAATTAAAATGATTAAAAAAAATAAATTAATTAATGAAATATAACCACAGAGAGATAGATAGATAGATAGATAGATAGATAGATAGATAGATAGATAGATAGATAGATAGATAGATACGGACAGACGGACGGATATAGTGTTTACTTCATACATCTGGTTTAGCTGCACAATAAAAGGCAATGAAAAGCTATTCACATTAATGCCCCAAAAAATAAAGTAACATATTGCTGTGATTAAATGTCAGGATGTTGTGTAGGATATACTGTAGATATACTTTGTATGTACTGTGCTTCATTTTACTCTAAAAAGTAAAAAAAAAAGAAAAAAAAGAATCAATTTCTATTTCTATTGCATTTAAATTTCTATTTCAATGCAGTATAAATAGAAATGTCTATTTCAATGCAATGATTGGGTGTGTTATATCTGTTGTTTATGTTGCTGATGTCTGGGGGCGGGGGCATTGGGAGGTGGGTTTCTTGTTATTATCATTATTTTGTCCTGTGAGAACATTTGTCCCTTATGACATTATTCATAAATACATGTACAGAAAATATGGGTTGGTCATTTTCAAATAATAAATAAATACACAATACAGCAACCAATGAAATATTTTTTTCTGTATTATTTGTAAAAATAATTGTTTTGAATAAATACAACCAGTAGGTGTCTCTGTCTGCACAGTAAAAAAGGTTCTTCTTAGGCATTATGTTGGTAGGTTTCTGACATTATTGTGTCTTCAGTGAATGTGACTATTAAATCCTCTACTGTAAGCAAAGATCTTTCCTTAGAGTGTGTTTCAGATCAATGTGGTAGTTTGCTCCAGGATTCGTCCTGTTATGTTCAAAGATAGCCCCATTCACCTCGGTATGAATATCAACAAGCTTAGTTTTCCTGTCAGAACACAAACAAGACAACAGTTAGTATAGCATCTATAGTTTATAGCTTATATGGAAAGTGTCTGATGCTACACAATAGCTGAATTTGCTGTTGAGTGTTTGCTTGTACCTCTTTTGGCCTTTGAGTAAGGCATCTGTCAGAACCTTCAGGTAAACAGAGCGGTGATGTCCTTGCTCCAGTTGACGTTCATCCGTCCAGCAGTGACTCCAGAACACGTCTGCATCTGTAGGGATGTAATCATATCTGGACAGCCCATCACACCCATCTGTCTCCAGATCCTCATCCCGATGGTGCATCCTGGCACAGGGCTGGAACTCAGGAACACTGTACCTCTGGATGAAGAACAGTTTGGGCTTGCCAGCCATCATGGGACATGTATCAGCAGTGAAAAGGCCTCTGACACTGTCCAGATGTAGACGTGCGCTGTACGTGTCTGTACCCAGGAGATGGTTTGCTGTACCACGGCTAATGATGCAACAGACAAAGCCATCACCTTTGAGGTTCTCTCTCTGTTTGAATATCCCTCTGAGAGCTGAAAGAGTGTCATCCACACTCAGCCACTTGTAGATGACCACATTGAAGTGAAGAGCCTTAAATGTTTGTTCCAACATGCCTGAGGGGGTAAGGAAAGATGAAACCAGATTTTACTAAAACAGTTAATCAGCTATCAAAGTAGTTGCAGATTAATTTTCTGTTGATTGACTAGTCTATTAATTTATTAATGTTTCAGATCTTATTGAAACCAAACATTATTTTTCAGCGGTATATGTAACTAAATACATTTACAATTTTGACTTATTTTCTGCGACTTTGTACTTCTACGCTACATTTCAGAGGGAAATATTAGACCTTTTACCCAACTACAGCTATTTAAAGCTCTAGTTACTGGTTATTCTCCAGATTAAGAACTGACATAGAAACACATATGATCATCTTAGAAAATACAATGCATCATTAAAGACTGAACAAGTGGTTTCCAACATTTTTGGCATGTTACCACTTACAAAAAACCATTGTCTAGTTGGGCCCCTGGCCACATTTCAGATAGGAGCGCTTCACAAACTTTACTTTTTATGGATTTTTTTTATATTGTGGTATTGGTACTTTTACTTAAGTAAAGGATCTGAGTACTTCCTGCACTACTAGACTGTAGGTACAAAGTGTTTTGTATCTCACCTCCATCATTACCCACGCAGTCTATGATAACACAAACTCCTCTGGGATTACTGTTAAATTTGTACCAGTTAAGCTGACTCTGAAATGCAAAGGAGCAAACAAAACAGTTTCATGAATGCACTTTTTTAATCAAACACAAGCTCCAATAATGAGTGCAAACCTTACCTGACAGTTCTGCTGTACATGTACAGGCACTGGTCTGTTTCCTGTCACTGGTGAGAAAGAGTAATGCAGTGATATGAATATCAAAATTAAATACAATGAGTGGCCTGGGGCTTTCCAACTGTTGTGGCTGGGTAGCTCAGGTAAGTCCCATGTGAAATAATATCTGTTCCATTGGTTTAAAGGGGTATTTTGACTAACTGTCTCTGGGGAATACATATTTTTGAAGTTGCTACAATTAACAAACAACTAACATGAAGCTTATCTTACCCGTATGGAGGGACTGTCCTTGTCTTGTTTGCGGAAAAGAATGGGAACTACTAGGAGTAGGGGGGGGTGGACACTGAAGAGAAGAGGTTTTTCAGAGGTATTAGTTTTATGAGATAGGAAAATGATAATAAATGTTAACTTTTCTACAGTGTCATACTCACAGGAGCTCTGCACCTTTGCTGTTGGGACAAATGCTGTTCAGGAGTTGCAACTGTAAAAGGTATACACGGACAGAAATGAGTAAATACAAGTAATGAGGATGATTTAAAGCACTTTGCCATTACTTTTCTACTCTTATTTGTTTAAATAAATAAAGTTCTTACATTGTACATGTGAGGTTACTTGGTCATTATCTAATCCTATGTTTCCTGTGCCAAGTGGCATTGTGATCTAAATACCACTACTGTATTTTTTGTATTCTAACCACATATATAGATGTTGGTTTCTCAACATACACTAAACTATATCAAGGGTGTGTCTCCCCTTCACTGGTCTATACTGCTGGTGTATAGAAGGTACAGAACATGAACGGGTTCAAAATAACACCATGGAGCATTTTTTGGGATTAAACCAATTTGCTCCAAGCAAACAGCTGTGATGGGAAACATTGGCTAGCAACCTTGTGAAGTACATTGGGCTTTTTGTATAAGCAGACAGGTTTTAACAATAGCAGACTGTGCAAGAAATCTCATGTGGGATATGAATATGTGGTTCTTGGACATGTTGGTATTCATGAACAAGATAGGTGTTGTTATGTGTTATGCGATTTTAAGCAAGTTAAATAAAACAGAAATTTATATGCATTTGTTTATCTTGAAAATGGATGGTCACTGAGAAAATGTGTTGTCTAAGTAACTTTTATTTGGGGTTTCTATTCTGTTTCTGTGTAATGTTTAAATTTTTTTCTTTGGTTTAGGAACTATGTACTGTATGTGATATGCAGTGGTTATTTGTTTCTTAGGAACTCGAAACTGCCAGAGGCATTTATATGTGTGGTTTCCTCACATGTCATGGGCCATTTCAGTGGTGTGACACAAAAACATTTCATTCATTAATTTTCAGTTCCCGTTTTCAGCATTTCCCTGTCTGAAAAATGTGTAAAAACTTCATACTTGTATAGTACGGTCCGAATCAGTAGATACTACAAACCTCACAGGTAAAACGTCATTTGAGAACTTACTTTTTACATTTTGTAAAAGTGTGTTTTCTCATTCTCTGTGAGAGAAATTTTAACCAGTCAGTATTACAAAGTATAGGTAAAATACAGTCTCACCTGACATCTTGTAAGTAGCCACTTTTTTGGCGAGGTCAATCCTGCCAGTGTTTATTAAACATTCCTCTACATAGTCCACTCTTTCGGGTGAAACTAAATCCAGCTTCTCAAGTTCAATGATCACATCCAGGAAACTCTGTCACAGAAGTGAGAGGGGGAAATTGTTGTTTTGATATGCAGAAAAAAATAAAATCTTTTTTGAAAAATGTTTTGAATATTTTGTATTAAGCCATAACACCAAAACTCCCCTCCCTCCCACACAGGAATTTAGTGAGTGAAAACAAAACCAGACTTCATTCATTTTCTTCACCTTTGCATTTTCCATCTTTTCGCGAGGTAATGTTCTACTTAACAAGAATTTAACAGTGTCCAGATCTTCATAAGCCATATCCTCACTTACATGAGCCATCAATACTCTGCAGTAAGAGAAACCATGATTACTTATAGGACCACAGTGTGTGAACTTGGGATTGTTAAGATAATTATGATATAATATCTTACCTGAATCTTGGCAGATTCTGCTGGTATTGAAGATCCCGCTCCACCTCATGTTTGCTGACTCCAATCACCTTCCTCAGGATATCAAAACGTCTCAGCTGTAACAAGAGCTCTGCCAGAAATGCGCGACCTCTGTCATGGCCCATCACTTTGGATTTCAGCATTTCTTTCACACAAGCTATACTGTTGTCCGTTTCCGGGCATTCACACAGGTAGAGGAGTCTCCTGCGTTCACTGCTGCTTAGAGCCTCTGCTATCTGATTGATTGCCTGAAGCTCCTGTTGGTCTGTAGGAGCCATGGACTTTGGAAGAAGAAAAGTGACAGTGAAGCTGCTATTCTACGTCAATGAAGACCGATCATTTAATTATTAACAAGGCAAGCAATTTGCCAGTCAGGACCGTACACCAAAGTATCATAAATATATAACAAAGAATATAACAGTAAGTATAGCCTAATCAGTAGAATTGTAGAAACAGCCTTACCTTACAGTGTGTGAAGAGAGAAAACACAGGTCAAAGCAGAACTTCACTTTAGCAGAAATGACGCATCACTAAAAATTCCCCCAAGGAAGTACCGCTTTTTTTCAAACAAAAAGAAAAGAAAGAAAGAAAAGAAAAGTAGGCTACCTAATTCATGCACACTAAGACACACGACAGTGAATCGTGCACGCTCTAAGCAGAACTCTTTGTTGTGGGATATGTGCAAGGTAATACACAAAACTCCTCGAAGTTTAATAAAACAGCACAACAGGCTGTCAGCTAAAGTGAAAGTGAAAGGCAAAGGGCGGCAGCGCTTTGATGACGAAGAACGTTAAAGCACGGTATTAGTGGCAGTACGTGATCTGGATGAAAATTCATTTGTACAACTTATTAACACTTAAAACCGCAGATTTGATGGATTCATACCCTTTATTAATGATTTAGTGGCATAACTGCAGATTTGATGGTTTATTCGAACAACATTTATGACTGCATTGTTACCAAACAGACAGGAAAAAACTTAGAGCTTAGAACTGGGAGATTTAATATACAGTCTATGGTTTTAAACAATTGGTAGAGCAATGCACAAATTAGTCGATTAATTGACTAGTTGACGGACAAAAAATGAATCTGCAACTTTGCTAATTGATTAGCCAAATCGTTTCAGGTATTTCTCAAACAGAAAAGCCAACATTTTCTCTCAAATGTAAGGATTGTCAGCTTTTCTTTGTTATACAGTAAATTGAATATTATTGGGTTTCTGACTGTTGGCTATTGAGTAAACGATTAATCAAGAAAATAAGCAGGAGATTAATTGATAATGAAAATCATTAGGCACAGTATATAAAATAGATTAGGAATTGTTAACGTGAACATGTTTGAATATGTTTAGTGGATGCATGGGAGGGAGAAATATAAGATTCATTACGCACATATTGTAGTATAATAAACTAATGTTAAATATTTTTGTTCTATATCTTTTCACCACTAACACAGCATAAAAATTGCTTCAGATAATGTTAAACTGTATTTATTTTTCATATAATTTGACTTTTGTTTCGTGATTAATCTGCTTTGCTGTAGGATATTCTACTGCTTTGAACCAACATGTTACACATAGGCTACACAGTGAAATTGGATTTGTACCGGTATGGGTAACTGTAGATAAATGTACAAGTGAGCTCACACTATGATGCTGAGTTTTCCGACAGTCATGAAGGTATCTTCACTGCTCCCTCTGCTCACTGTTTGCCAAAACGAACTGAGTTCCGCTCAGCCCGGCCAATCGTGTTGCGCTGTGGTTCAGCAGCACCATTGCAGTGTGGAGAGATCATACGGAGGTGCTGCTCGCTAAGAGAGGGAGCATTTGGAGGAAAGATACTCGACCTGGGTGACCGCTCTAGAAAAACACCAACCCTGCTTCCCCGACACAGTCACCGGGTGACATTGCCATCACCAGCTTCAGTCCGGGTGAGTATTTCGTTACCTGGTGGCTGGCAAAACATTCAGGATTTTCCAGGTAGTCGTAGTCAAGGGCTGCTGGTGAGTTGGAACATCATCAGCACTGTTGTGTTGATGTGGATGTAAACCCGCAGCCAGGAAGCTTCAGCGTTAGCGGGCTGGCCAGTGGCGACACAATTGTCTTAAGCAGGGGGCCACACAGATGCTGCTTAGGCTTTGGTGAAGCCAGGCAGCCACCAGTCAGTCGTTTCGGCCTAGTCACGACTGGTGAAAAATGAGGAGGATGAGGATGTCCACCAGCTGCTGACTACAGCAGACACGCTAACGGCATGCAAGCCGAGCTAAGGTAGCTAACGTTGACGTCCAGGTTCAGCTTTCGTGGCACTTCTGTTATAGACGTGAGCTAGCGGATAACTAACTGGCTAACAGAGCTGCGTAGAAACATCCAGATAACACGTTTGCTTGTTTCCGTGTTTAAGGTAGAACAGCTGTTCTCATGTCACTCAATCTTAGCCACCACACCTGAAAACATACCCAGTATTTTCACTGAGATCCTTGATAGTTGAACTCCACAAACCCTATTTCAAAATAGTTTTATTTTGAAAATTAAGAGCGGAAGTTTAAATTTTGCATCTCTTGTAGGCTTGATATATAACTTTTTGAGCCAATAGCAAATATTAATTTAGTACGAAGTAACGTTTAAGGGTTGATCCTAATTCTGTTAGGTAATATTAGTTTTGTGAACACTTGCTGTAGAGTAAATGTCTGTCATGTACAGTAGATGAGTTGATGTGTTTGAACAGCCTTTGCTATATTGTCAGCTATAGCCTGGGTGGCCAGTCAATTACTTTTTTCTAGCTGTCATCATACTATTATGTCTGTAAGTTTGCAGCTGTAACATGGTTATTTAAATACCCACCACATATGTATAGATATTCATATTAAGTATGCTCATATGTCATGGCCAAGTTATATTAGGTATGAACAAATAACTTGTTAATTCATCTTACTTTACCTCTCAGTTGCCTCAGAAAACAAGAACGCATGGTCAGTTAAGACGCATCAAGCCAGGAGCCTGGTGTTGCTTAAGCTTTTCACCCAGAAACCTTTCATCTGAGTGGTCAGCTGCTTTCAAGCATAGTGCCTATACCAGCACCATTTGGCTAAAGGCAACATCTTCCTCTGTGCTTGGACAGAACAGTGAGTTACTCTATTCTCTATTATTTACTTAATTGTTTGGTTTATGAAATGTCAGAAAATAGGGTAAAATTTCTCACAGTCAAATTTCCCTCAAGCCCAAAGTCAAAAATCCTTGAATATGTTCATATTCATTTTAATATTTGAGCTGTTTTGCTTTTAAAAATGATTTATTATTAAAATAGTTGAGGATTCATTTTCTGTCGATTGACTAATCAATTAATCGATTAATTGTTGTAGCTCTACTCTAGAACAGCGCTCAAAATGACCAGCAAACAACACATCCTTACAACAGCAACATTTCATTCATTCCTCCCTGGTCTGCCAAGCCACTTTGCTACTGCCAAGTTGCTTTCTAGTTGATCTTTCTATGTTGACATGCTGCTGTTTATAACACGGACATCAGTAAATTAAATGAATGCTGCTTGGACTGGTGCTGATCATGATAAGTAAACCACCCCTCAAATAATGGCGTCACAGGCAAAGATGTAGAGCTGAAGATCCAGATAATTCCATGCCATCTGCTGCTCATCCTCAATCGTCATTCCTCCTCTCTCCTCCTCCCTTGCTCTATCTCTGCCACTCTGTGTTTTGGGACTAAGCTATCATCAGAGCTGTGGTCTATTTTAGACAGAAACTCCATTTACCCACTTAATCTGTGTCTCCGACTCCAGGAGTTGAGTTTCTATTGCTCAGTGTAACAAATTGTATTTTATTCAGCCCAAGTTATTCGATGAGGAGAAGGCCCTAACACGTATTGGATCTTTTTGTGAGTTGCTGAAATCACTTATTGAGCAGTATACTGTAGTTAAGGGGATATGTGCTGTAAAAAAAAAAAAACTCTTTAGCTTGTCTAAATGTTTCAAAAGGGTTTCCCTTGAAGCAGAAGTCAACTCTTGTAAACTTTGTGCCAGTATTTGAGCTGACTAATAATGTACAACATTGTCATTTATTGGTCACACATCTGCAGCAGCTGTGAGCTTATTAAGACAGCTCTACACCAAAACAAATCTAACCGTAACTGTATTGAGCCTCAGAGTGTGTAGCCTCCCTCCCACCTATGGTGATGCACACGCCTAGGGGATCAAAGCTGTAATTAGCCTGCCATGGATTAGCAGTGGGGACTATTTTCCACTGTACTTGATCCCACAGAGCCAGAGGATCACACAAGCAGCCAGCCCCCTGCCCTACCTCTTCTTCCAATATAAAAAAAATCTGATTTGTTTTGTCCCTAGAGGTTGCACTGAATGAGAAACCTCATAATTCTGCCCTGGGCAGTTTGGACATGCAGCATCTCTGAAACTGATTATGTTATTTTTCTTTGTTCGTTATCATTCAGCAACCAAATTGATGTGCTTAAAAGTCACCAGTGGAGTCATTCTAGTTGTGTTGCGTGCAGACAGTCTTGAGAATCAGCTGGATATGTGGTTGGCATGTAGAGAGAGCTGTGGTGCTGCTGACTCACTGCACTGCCAGGTATGAGGTCTGTCTGTGCGTTTGCTGTCTCCATGATGTACAGTATGTCCCTTCCCTAAGCTCCCACCCCCTACACACACGCTGAGTGCCTTGTCTCTCTGTCAGCCAAACAAGAGTTCATACTGTTCCTCTGGGGGCTCCACGGAGGTGGAGCAGCATGATGCATGTACTCTCTTGTTTGTAAATGTATCAATGGTTTCAAAACTGATTGCAAAAAGGTCTGGGAATGGCATTGTATATTGCCCAAGCTAATGATGGTATTACCATACAGGCAATTCTGCAAACTGCAATTTGAGGCAGGAGGATGACTGATGTTTCATAACAATAGTCTTGTTTTGGGCAGCAACTGATGATATGTTCCTTATTGTTTAATCTGCAGATTATTTTCTCCTTTAATTGATTAGTCTATAATAGAAAATAGCAAAAGAATTTCACACAGTGTTATGTATTCAGATTGTTTGTTTAGGTAAGACCAAATGTCCAAAAAAATTTAATCAGTTCACATTATATATGGAAAAGAAAACCCATCCACATCCTGAAGTTTGAGAAGCTGGAACCAGCAAATGGTTGGTGTTTTTTGCCTGAAAGATGATGAAAAAAGTAGTTCAAAATACATATATTTTCTCTCAATTGACTAATTGATTAAATGAGAAATTGTTGCAGTTCTAGCTGTGTTACTGAAGTTATAGGATACCTGTTTAGCAGCAGCCAGTTGTACTACATTCGAACACTATTATAATTCAGTTTTACAGAATTTTAGACAATGTATGAGCATGTAACAAACTGCATAGCTTTAGCCTTTAAAACACATACAGCAACATGTACATGAGTGCCATATTGTATTATTCAAATGTAACACATCTTTAGATTGGCATAAGGCAGAATTTACAATGAATCAAGATTAACAATGCTTGTAGCCAGTGTATCAATAAACTATCAGAAGAGAACATACTGAACCAGTTATTTATCAAATTCACTACACTTTGGTTTTGTTGTTGTGGTTTGACAGTAGTTGGCAGGTGACATGAGGATTACATGTGCATGCAGTTTAAGCTTTTAGAACAATCTCAGATTATATTTGGAAAGTGGCCTTTGCCGCTAAACTCTGATGTCATCATCACAGGGTAGGTTTGCTGGACGTGTGTGAATGTTTTGATTAGGTTAGATTAACTGTATTATCCCTACAGCGATATGGCTTGTTCCCATGGAAGTGGTGAAAGGCTTTTTCATTGTTCTGCTGTACAGTTGATTTCAGCATGCCACAGACTTTCACCTCCTTCAGTTTTTTTCAGAAAGTGCTACATTTGCAACGCCTCCATTATTAATACAATACTGATGCTGGCAGATCAAGTGTTTAACCTTTAATCCACTATTCTGCACTGGACAGAGTAAATAGACAACTAGGTATTTCAGCCAAATTTAAATCTGTCCAACACATTATTGATAATAAATGGAAAAGAAAAGAGAAAAGAAAGACAGCTATATATATACACTTTAGTCCATAATTTTTATATGTTGAAAGTAATTAACTAATTTGATCAATCTACAGAGGTGAACATATCATGATGCACTCTCATAATTATGGATATTTAAAAATATTTGTTATTTCACACAGCGATGGACGATCAGTAGATGCTTCATCTAGGTATGGCAGAGTAATAATCACTGTCAGCAGAGATTAAGCAGAAAACTTCACCCACCAATTCATCTACTGCTGTTTTTGTTTCTTGACAAGACATTTGTGTGACATCTGCAGACAGGTCGCTAGCATTAGTTACCCATCAGGCAGGGACAGACTGAACAAAGTACAATGTGCACACTTTTCAATCGACTCCAAAGGCTTCACCTCTCGTAACCAGGTAACCCTTTGTCAATAAACCAAAATCAGGAGCTAGGAGGAGATCGGTGCCTTTTTTTTCACGATATGACTGTTCGATTCTATAAATTGTCCTGCCCAGTCTGTGACCAAATGTACAAACTCCCAAAGTATTCAATTTACAGCGACAGAAAAGCGGCAAAGCTGGTGCCTGCGAATGTTTGACATTTTTGCTTAATAAATGACGAACCCCTCTGCTCTGTACAAGTGGCCCAGGGGTCAAACTTGCTGGGATAGTTGAACATCACTCACGGTTTGTACAATGGGACAGAACTAAGTTGAGACTTTGTGGAAGAAATAAGCTGGCGTTCACACAGTGATGCTTTTTAAACAGTAATTTCTAGTAAGAGGTGATAGTCATCCTCCTGTTATTTCTGTTATTCAAGACTGTTCCCCACAAAAAGTTACAGCTGTGTTGAGCAGTTTGACCAGGTTGGCTCATTTGACTTTCTGCAACTGC